TTTTCATCAAAGGTACTATTGACTTTTCACATTGTTGTCACTTTTTCATGCTATTTACTCAGTCAATGTTTTAAAAAAAGGTTGCTTACCACCTGTATGAGATACCATGCGATCTGCTGGGGAAGGGGCAATTTCACCTTCTTCCACATTGCCGCTGTTGTCTTTTTCGAGCAGTCTGTCCACCATGGCAATAACACAGTTTAAACTCTTCCCCACATTGGCCCACACCCTGTCCTGAAAAAAGTATCAGCATCACTACATTTTAGTGAAAGAAACATAGAAAGCTGTTGTGGTAGAATGATAGCTGTGTAAAATGAAGATTAGATGCTTACAAATGTCATTTCTTCATTTTTTTCTATTGACACTGTTTTTACACTGTAAATGACTTTATTGGAACGGATTTTTTAAGGCACTGAAATAATTATATTGGTCCTTCATATAACACACATTATATGAAATCAAGAACGGAAATATCCAACAATCACTAAACAGCATGTTTAATTGTATAGCCACTTTAGGTCCAAACAAGTAAGGAGATGAGTGATAAATTTACAAAATGTATCGTAAATAGCAGAATGAGAAGTTGAGATAAATCAAAAGGTATAAGATTAAAAGATAAAATTGAGCTTGGCATGTGAGAGCGCAGTGTCACAGGATAGCCCCCTCCAGGTAGCCACAAGAGCGACAGAAGAGAAGGGTCTTGGCAACTACTCGTGTAGAATTGTGTGGAAGAACAGTAGGAGGCCAGAGCCAGATAACTAGAGACTGGCTTAGTGAAGAGCCTGAGCCTGTCCGTGCTTTTGAAACTGAATTGTTTTGATATGGATTCTGAAAGCTGAGTTGTAAAGTGCTTGTTGTTCTTTGTATTTGTGACAGGGTAGGCAGAGGCGTCATGCACTTGCTTGGTTTGAAGGCAGAAGAAGAGACAGAGTGAGAAAATAGGGTGAGGATGTGGTCTTTAAGCAGTCAGAATTAAAGAGGCATCACATACAGACAAGGCAGTGGAAGTGACAATAGGCAAATTTTAAAAGTACAGTCACATACAGGCCAGCTTTTTAATTTAATAACTATTTTGAATTACATATCACTACTTAAAATACTTAAATCTTTAATAGAAAATATACTTTCAAAAGTTGCTAAGGTATGTCAGCTATTTATGGGTACTTTTTCGATATCTGGAGATTTCCTGGTTTCTGAGGGTCTTTTAATGAGAAACTTTGCTTATAACAAAGATGTTGGTGGACACTGCACTGCCACTGTGAAGCAGGATATGTAACATTAAATTACTATATCCAATTTATGACAGATCAAATAAAATGTAGTCACTAGGCTTACCTGATATTGTAAACTAATGCTGATTTATTAATAATATTCTAAATTTAGAGGATGTGCAGAACAACAAGAAGTATATTTAAGGCAACAGAAAAACAACATATGTTTAGTACTAACAATGTATGTATTATACAGCATGCATCACAAGTGAAAAGTGGTGACAGCTAAAAAGGAAAAAAAAAGCACTCATCACTGAGTGTAGTGCAATTTAAAAGGAAAATCAAGAACTGGCATCTAAATAAATCACTCTCTGTAGTATGGTGCTTTATTCTGCTTTAAAATAAATCCTTCAAAGTAATAATTGGATATGCAATCATACAGGGATAGCTATAACTTATTTAGTGCTAAAAATATCTACCGGACTTCAATTTCAATGTTCTTTAGGGATATGGGTATCCTGAGATAACCATCAGACTCGGTTGTCATCTTATTATTTAGAGGCAACTTTATAAGACTATTGGCTTTGGTAAGGATATATGGTAGTTTTTATTTTTTTAAATTGCAATGAGTTTTAAGGATATTTTATTATAATAGTCATATAAGGTAGTCAATCAGAAAGCTAAGTACTCTGTCTACATGGTCTGCATAAACTACTGAAAACTGCTTGGTTACATTTGGGACAACCTTAGATTTGTGGCTGCTTGAATTTTTTTAGAAATTATTTCCTAAAAACAACAGGCCAGGTTCTACTACCACAACATTCCCATTTTTAAAGGTTATTATCTGCTTTATTGTCTACCTTCTAATTAGTTACTTTCTCTACTATACCCTCAATATGTGCCACATCCTCCATTAGAAAGTTCCCCTCCTATACACTTAATTTAATCCAATACATGTTTTTTTTTCTATTCTCCCCCACTCCCCCGCTCCAAACACAACAAATTCAGGGGTAATGCAAACGATGCAGTGAGTTACAGATTGGTTAGTCAGCTAGTATAATCAACAGTGGCCATGTATGGCATAAAATTTGTTCATATGATAAATGGCTATCATTAAGATATAATGATTTCACTGTTAATTATGAAAACATGTGTCTATACATACAGTATTCTTGTTTGTAAACAAAAAACATAAACACCAACTATATAAGGTCCATAAAGAGCCAGACACATTATAAGCATTAGCAGTCTTCAGCTTGGTTGCCTATCTCAGTTCAAAGAAAAAAAAGTAGCATTGCCTAAAGAACTGCTGTTGATTTAGGTAACTGCTAGGCCTGTGCGAAGCAGCTAGTATTTCCTTCAGATTTGGCCGATTTGGAGGACAGTGATTCGATTTGAATCACTGTCCCAAATTAATTCGGCTGAATCAAACAGGCCCCATGCCCCACCCGCTCTCCCACTCCTGCATGGCTGCCTCGCCTGCCCCAGCTCCTGGCATTTGGAAAAGAAAAGCCCAAACTCAACAGGTGCTGCTGGGCAGAAGGGTGATCCTGCTGGTCCCCACTACCTCACGCTGCATGGGGGGGTCTGCATGAGCCCCCCAACCCTCTCCTGCTGTCCCAGCCCCTGCCCCCCCCCCAGCTCCAGCCCTTTAAGTAAAAAAAAAAAAACAACAACCAAGAAACCCCAAACTTGCCAGTTCCCACACGGTGGGGGGCAATCCCTTCTACTTCGCCATGTGGGGGGCTCTTCCATGAGCCCCCTGAAGCTCTGAGGGCACTGCAGGAGCTCATGAGTTCAGGGGTTTTTTCATTTGTTTTTTTTTCTTCTTAAAGGGTTGGAGCTGGAGCTGGAGCTGGGGCAGGTCAGGGGGAGCAGGCAGGGGATGGGGCCTGACAGTGGTCCCCCCACAGTCCCTTCTCCTCTCCTCTAGCCCCCCCCCCCCCC